ATTGTAAATTATGGTTCCAGTGAGATGCTACAAGGCAATTATTGTTATTGATGCAATTAAAGAGAATGACCACGCCAGATATTATGAGGACATGCAGCTTTTGTGTACTGTTGGTGGGAGTGTAGAATGGTAAAAACACTTTAGAAAACAGTTTGGCAGTTTATTTAAGCATATACTTATCATGTGATCCAACCATCCTGTTCCTAGGTATTTTCCAAGAAGAGGAAATACATACCCATATGAAGACTCATACATTCATAGTAGCTTTACTTATGATAGCTCCAAGCTATGAACAACTCAAATTATCTATCTGCATATGAAGGAAAAAATAAGTTATGGTATGTCTATACAATATTATTCAACAACATAGCATAATGAGTTATTGATATGATAAAATTGATGAAAATCAAAGGATTGGTTGCTTATGGAAGGAAGTCAAGTCAAATGATAAAATATATTGTATTATTCCATTTATATAAAAGTTTAGAAAGTGTAATTAATCTATAGAGATAGAAAGTCTATGAAGAGTTGCTTGGGGGTGAAGAGGGTTAGGAGTGACAAATATAGTCACTATCTAGATTGAAGAGATGCTGTATTGTATGCCTGTCATATGTCAGATGTTCTCTTAGGTGTTTTTTAAAATACTAATTTACTTCTGAAATAATCATGTGATGAGGATGAGGGTGAATTTCTATGGGGAGTAATTCATCCATAGAATAAACTTGTTTTCTACAAAGAGTAGGGGTGTTGAAGAGAGAAAGGAAATGGCAAATAACAAAAGATATTCCTCAGATAGGAGAAGAGGCATGGAAGAAGAAAAGAAAAGATGATGCAGTAGGTTGCATTTTCCAACTACAGGCACAATACTATTTCTTCCTGTGATGTAGCTCTGACACCTCCCATTAGAGGTGGAGTCAAGTTCCCTTTTCTTTGATGCGGGGGGGAGGAGGGGGCTTGCGATTCTGAAGTCTAGAAAGTGATTCATCTTCTACCTGGTTTTCTTGTGATCTTTTCTTTGAGACTTTAGCCTCTGTACTGTGAAGAAGTCCAAGCCGCCAGATGAGGTGGTCTGGATGACAGTTACTCCATTGGATCCTAGCTGTTGCCAGCATCAACCACCAGACATGTGGATGAACAAATCTTTGGATGAGTTAAATTCCAACCCTTGGAAAATTCCTACACATGGAGTCTTCCCAGTGGAGATCCCAGATACTGTAGAACACAGACAAGATGGGTTGATGTCCCCTTCCTGAATTTCTGACTCACAGAATCTTTGAGCATAGCAAAATGGTTATCATTAAATACCACTATTTTAAAAAATGCAGCAATGGTAAGTTAAGCAAGTGACAGGAAAGAAGGTGGAGAAATACAAACAGTAAAAGGAAAACTAGGATCTGGCCCTTATGAAAGAATAGAAAAGAACTTTGGGCAGTTGTACTAGATTTTGAGAGTATATACTGTAGAGCATCAATCTACAGATTTCTGGGATAGGAGGTAGAGCCCTTGGTGTCATGGGTATCAAGAAGGTGGACACATAGCTAAAGTACTTGATTGGAAGAAACTCCTTCATCCTAAGCCATCTGATCATCCATAAAAACTAAGAGAGAGAAAAAAGAAATGGAGTAGGATTTGCCAGGTTTCTGTCCCAGGAAGAAATAATTAAGAAACATCATGTTTTGGGCTGGTATTGCATTAATTACATTATATTTTTATTTGGTTTTATTTATGTATATATGTTCATGTGTGTGACAGTGTGTATGTGTACATGTATGTGTAGGGCAGAGGATGTCAGGCATTTTCTTGAATTGGTCACCATTTTATTTATTTATTTTTTATGTGTATGAGTGCTTTGCCTACATGTATTTAAGTGCATTACATGCATGCAATGCCCAAAGAGTCCAGAAGAGGGCATCTGAACCCATAACTGAAGTTATGGACTGTCCCCATGTGAGTGCTGGTAACTAAACCCAGGTCCTCTGCAAGAACAGCCAGTGCTCTTAACTGCTGAGGCACCTCTCCAGGACATCTTATTTTTTTGTGACAGGGTCTTTTGCTGAACCTAAAGCTCATAGATTTGGCTAGACTACTTGGCCATCAAGCCCCTGGGATCCTGTCTCAGCTTCTCTGAACCTGGGGCTAAAAGCAAGAACCACTGTGGCCGGATTTTATATGCAGTATAAATTAGCATTATTTGGTATAATTTGAATAATGGGACATATGCCTCATTAGTAGATTATTTTAATAGAGGACCCTTTAACCTAATTTTGTCTACTCACTGATGTTACCCTTCTAAAGAGTCATACCGAAGATTTTCAAATCCTGGTTATACACATAATTTCTTAAAGTTTATTTAGCTCAGGAAAGTGACAAATGGATTGCTGAGTGAGCTGATCTGCAGTGAGAACTATTTGTGCAGTGCTTCTGCTGTTCTTGAGTCCCCTTCTATTTTGATATACAGTGAATTTTGGTATCAAGGTTTAGTTGTACATTATTAGTGAACTTGTGTCAACATTTAATCAATATGCCTGTACCGATTTTCACTTGTCTGAATTCTGTTTTTACATTTTATAGATTCTTGTGTAAACTATCCCATCTTTGTCTCGGCTATCTGCTATGTTGAGACACCCCTTTTAATTCAAAAAATTTCTCGTTGCTTGTGTTCTCATTCAGACTATAGTTTCAGACTCAGTATGAAATCAATTGACTCATATAGATGTCCATATCCCTCTAAATGGATCAATTATAGACTTTATCTGATGACAAAGAAAGAGTGGAATAATTTTAAGACTCCAAGCATACTACCTGCTTAGTGATGGTCATTTCCTAACCAATGTATTAAGAGGGAGCAACATGATGGTTCTTTATGACCACAGAAAGGGATTTTTCAAATTCATTTGGAGGGATAGGATCTCTTTCAGTTTACAATACGAGCTGCAGCGGATCTCCTATTTTGGGCTTTTTTTTCCCCCCACATTTCCTGTGTTGCACTATTAAGCATCCTCCCAGGGACTAGAAGACACAGGAAATTGTTTAATCACTTCATGCCCAGTATCATGGGGCCCACATTTGCAGAATGTGGGGCATGATAACCCCCTGTGGTTAAGATAACAGCTGTTCCCAGTTGTAAAGCATGCAACACAAAATGAAATAGTCACAAAATTATCCTCAGAGCTTGTGAAAGGAAGTTACAGAAGTCAATTTGCCCATGTTCCACATAATCAGTATGCCGCAGAAACTACTTTGGACACATGCTTTGTTAAATGTACTTATTTTTATATTACACTTCACCCTCAAGGAGGCTGAGAGAGCTGCCTGCCTTTCACGGGAGGTAAAAGTTCATGTGCAGAAAGCAGAAGATGAGAATTTGCCTGGTTGTTACCATCTTGAATATTTCTGACAAATGACCTTTTTTACTGAAGATTTCAATACAACTATGGTGATTGTGTGGGTCTCAACCGGAACAATAATTTTCTTGTGTTTGAAAGAGAGTGAGCAGTTATATACCAGATGTTCTCCAACTGTGGTCCCTGCATTATCTGCATCAGCATTACCTGGAAACTTGTTACAAAGGCAAATTGCTCTAGATCTACTAAATCAGAAATCCTGTGGGTGAGGTAGTTTAGCGAGTTCTCCAGTTGATTCTGATACACATTAAAATTTAAGAGCCACTGCTAATCTAGATGCTCAGAAAAGTGTTTTGTTCAAAATTGTCCTCAGTTGTAAGGACGCTGTAGAATATTCTTCAGTTACACAATGTCAAAGAAAGACATCTCTTCCATCTACACCACTAAGGATTTGTTAAGCATCTAGTGCTTATAAAGGATACAGGTAAGCATCTACCATATACTATGTTAATTACTGTAGGGAAGGAAAGATGAATAAAATATGGCCCCAAACTCCTGTGAACTCATCTATAGTGAATGAGCTGATCATATTTAATTTGGAAATTAAATATAAAATAACACAATATCCAACCTTGTTTGTGTCATATATACTAAAAAATGAAAATTACAGGCCAAATTCATCACTGTGTCATTAATATTACTAAATAGTCCTTTGCTTCTCTTTTCAGAAGTAGAGGAATGAAGTGTTCATTTAAAAATTAGCAATTTGGGAGCTGGAAAGATGGCTCAGTGGTTAAGAGCACTGGCTGCTCTTGTGGAGGACCTGAGTTTGATTCCCAGCACCCACATGGCGGCTAACAATCATCTGTAACTCCATTTCCAGAGGATCTAACACCTTCTTCTGACTTTGGCCGGCACTGTGCTACACAGGTGCACTTACACTCATGCAGGCAATATACTGGTAAACATAAAATAAAAATAATAAAATATTTTTTTAAAAATTAACAGTTTAGGGGCTGGAGAGATGGCTCAGCAGTTAAGAGCTCTGACTCCTCTTGCAGAGGACCTGGGTTCAGTTCCCAGCACCCACGTAGTGGCTAGCAACTATCTGTAACTCCAGTTCTCAGGGTATCTGACACCCTTTTCTGACCCCTGCAGGCATTGCATGATATGGGTACACTTACATACATGCAGGCAATACAGTCACATGTAAAATAATTTTTTTTTTTAAAGTTGAACAGTAACATTCACCTGATAAGTGCTGGAAACAGAATACACAGCCTTACATTTCTCTGGCACTGGTTCTGGTTATGAATCAGCTCCAGTATCCCAGAAACCCCAGTCTAAATCAGGACCACAAAGTTGTCTCCCTGTTCCGTAATTAAACAAATTTGCAGTAGACTTTCCCTTCTATTTAGCTTTTATTAAAAGAAGTGCTAAGGTACTGAGATGCAGTACATCATATTTATTACCAAAATTATTAACAAATATACAAAACATACATGTAATTCTCTTACATCCATTTCTTCTCTATAATACTGATTTTTGTTCAAGTAGGTTATCTACAGTATGTAAACATCCCTTGGATTGACCTTACACAGATTAGGAAAGCCCTCTAACCCATGCTTTTATCAGATACTTTTTATTTGGCTTTCGTTTGTAGCATCTAATCTCCACATTTGGCACATGGAAGAGACATCTACAGTGCAAAAGAGGCAGCTTTTCCGGTTTCTTTCTGAACGCTTGTGGGGGTATAAAGAGCTGAGAGAACAGAAGCACTCTTAACTCAATGTCGCTGGATTAGCTGTAATGCCAACATTTAGTTCAGCTGTTAAACTTGAGCACAAAGTCAATGTCTCTTCCTTCTCCCACCCACCCCACCCATCCCCCATGCAAGGCTGAGCCGGTCTTAACCTTGTCTCAAAACGGGTTAAATGAAATACCATTCATCTATGAACAAGTAGTTTAATTTCACTGAGGAATAATTTTTCTGTGTTCTTTTGTGTGGGTTGGTTACTGCAGGTTTGATGATCCAGCAAAAATTTTAAATGAATAAACACCCCCCCCCAACCCCCAACCCCAACAGACTCTAAGTAGTTCACCTACCATCTCTGTATTTTAAAACAGAGCCTTTTTGTAGTGGCAAAGTGCCCAATGCCTTGGTGAACTGAAAAAAAAAAAAAATGAAAGAAAGAAAAAGAAAAACAACAACAACAACAAAAAAGTCAAGCTTTTGCCCAATAGTTCAGACTTTTGAATACAGTGTCAGAATTTTTTTTTTTTTCAATTTAAAAAGGTAATGGACGATTGTGCCCTCTTCCTCTTGGGTTGCCTTCTGATAATTCAACTTAATCTAACAAAGTAAAGCTGATCCAGCGCGAGCTCTGTTCCTCTGCTTGCTCACATCTCCAGCTCAGTATTGCTCCTGTGATAGGTAGGCTGCACCTCGTGTGCGCTAAGTAGCCTCTGAGAACGTCTGGATTTGGACGCGTTTGCCTCCCGGCTTCCGTCACCACAGTGGTGTAGGCCCCTCCGAGGCCCCGTAGAGCTCTGCCAGCTTCCGGAAGCGGGGCCCCCAGTCCGTGAGGAAGTCAAAGCTCTGCTCCGAGTCTGAGGTGGCCGACTGCAGGGAGCTGAGCGAGCCCGCCAAGGAGCCTTCTCCCTCAAACATGTAGGTCTGCAGGGAGTCGAAGGGCGGGGCCCACAGGTCCATGTCGGCCTCGTAGAGCTTGGCCAGCACGTAGCTGTGAACCGTGCTGCTGACGGCACACGTCTGAGGCACGTAGCGGGAGAGGCTCTCGATCTCAGGCAGCATGTCCTGCCGCGTCTTGGGGGCAGCGCCCGCTTGCGCCTCACGCGGGTTCCACATGGCCGCGATGTCGAAGGCCTCGGTGTCCTCCTCGCCGCCGCCCTCGTCGTCGTAGCGCACGATGTTCTCGTGAATGTTCTCCTCATCATCGATGATGTATGGCTGTTTCCGGTGTCGCCGCATTGACAAGATGAGCAACACCAGCACTGCCAGGAATAGAGAACAGGATGTTATTGGTGAGACTTGCCTGAGTCTGTCGTGGCTAAAAATACCCTTGTTGTTGTTTTTTTTCCTCGTGTTTTGAGACAGGGTCTCCCTGTAGCCCTAGCTGGCATGAAACTCGTTAGGTAGACCAGGCTGGCCTGGATCTCATAGAGATGCACCTGCCTCCCTAGTGCTGGGACTAAAGGTGTCCACCACTACACCCGGCTAGAAATACTCTTGATTAACCACAGGTATAGAAAGGATTTAAGACTGGCTCAGCCAGCGCGGTGCTGTACACCTTTAATCCCAGGACTTGGGAGGCAGAGGCAGGTGGTTCTCTGTGAGATCCTACGTAGCAAGTTCCAAGCCAGCTGGGGCTACAGGGGGACCCTGTCTCAAAAACAAAAACAAACAAAAAGCAAAACAACCCTAAACCAAAAAAAGGTGGTGAGCCCAGAGACAAACTTTGGGCATTTGAAACTTCAAGGACTTAACTAGTTCAGGTCTGCGTTGTTCTCACTCCTGCCTGGTTAGATCAAGAGCATGTGGGTAAATGAAGCCTTATATTTGTTCAGTCCATTCAGTTAGAGGTTGCACACATAGTGTCCTTATAACAGTTGCTTTGAAATTGTATACACACAACCAACCAATATGAAACCCCACTAAGTTAATACAAAGCCTGCCATAGAGCACGTATTATGTGGATCATATGTGCACTCTGTACTGAGCATAAAATACATTTATTATAATGTAAAAATCTCATGTAGGTGGAATTCTGCTTTGTTACATTAGCATCCTTTCTAAAAATTTTATATTGAGTTTTTGTGTATTTCATACAGAACATCTCAATCAGTCTTAATCATCTTTTAAAAATTATTTTTGGACAGCTGGGGCTACAGGGAGGCCCTGTCTCAAAAAGACAAAAAGAAAAAAAAAAAATAACACAAATCCATGCCTACTCCCTCTCAACTTCACCCATATCTCCCACCACTTTTTTTCTGATAACTTCTTATACTCTTTCTTCTTTTATATGTTTTTAAATGGGGCTTTTGGCTACTCTAACATTCCCCCCTCTGAAGAGTAACCCTAAAATCTTTTAAGGATTGATAAAAGCTCTCAAATACTTTTGACATTTTTGGCTTTTGGAACAGAGTATGTTGCTAAGAGGCCCAAGGACATTGTGAGTTTTAGCCAAGAAACTCGCTACTTTTCTTTGGGGTCTTTTTACCCTAACTGCCTAGCCACTTCCTACCTCTTATTCTTGTCACACCATCCTCTGAAGAGGTTACCCAAATTGCCAATAGGGAATAGGGACGCAGACCACTCTGGCTTCTCCCATGCTGAACAGGGACGCAGGGTGAGGCAATTGGAGTACCCCTTCAGTGGGTCTATCTAAAAGACTCCCAAATTGCATAACCCTTATCTCTAAAGGGGAAAGAAAGTCCTTGAATCTTGAATAGGAGCTGTGAAGGAGAACTAAAGGCAAGAGTAATTAGCATTCTAAGTTCTAGACAGGGAACTAGAAAAAAGAACAGGGCAGTTATCAAATGTTCTTATGAGGGTCCATTGGAATTTTTTGACAAGGGCTTCCAAAAGCATCCCTCTATTGGGTTCCTCCTCATTTTTCTTTTGTCTTTCAAGGCTGGACTCTAGAGTGATAGATTCAGGATTTGCTTTCAGGTATTTTGATAGCTGTTGGAGTGGTTAGAATCAGTGCCAGTTCCCTCTCAAAGCCTTCACCATGTGGAGGCAGTATCCGGGGCTCTCAGGCATTCCCCTGCGTTCTCAGGCCCTCTGAAGGGAGGCCAGAACTTGGCACTCTGGTGGTCTGCTGAGATCAGAGCCGCTACACTGATGGAGGTCTGAACCCACCCTCCAATCTTAATCATCTTTATACCCCCTTCCCCACTGGCACCCTCCCATAGCCCCACCCACTGCAATTCATACATTCTGTCATTTGTGTTAAAGCTTAATGTGTCAAGTTAGTGTCTACAGATGTTCCTCAGTGCAAGTTCATCTACTGAGGTCTTGTGGTCCTATCTAGAGTACTTGCTTTAGGAAGATCAGTTCTTCTTCACCCAGCAGTAATCAGTTGCCAGTATTTCTTCAGCTGAGATTGGGCTCTTGCTGTCCATTTCCTCAGTTCTGTGCTGGATTTTTATCTGCTTGAATTTGCATGGGTCTTGTACATGCTGACACCATTGCTGTAGGTTCATATGAGCAGGGTCCCAGGAGCTTGTAGGACTCTCTTTCCATATGGTCATGTACCTCCTCCCTGGCTCTTAACAGCCTTTCTGGCCCCTCTTCTGCAATGGTCCCTGAGCCCTGGGTGAGTGGTGTTTTATATGGGAGTCCTGTTCAAGGACCACCGTTCTGCAGACTCTTAATCTCTACACTTTGGCCATTTGTGACCTTTTATGATCCTGGCCCTCTGTTGCATGAGGGAGCTTCTTTAATGAGAACTGAGATATTTGTTAGTTCTGCTTTGTTACTGCTGGCCTGGATCTCACAGAGGTCCACCTGCCTCCCTGAGTGCTGGGATTAAAAGCTTGTGCCATGTGGCACTGGCTACATTAGCATCTTAATTAGATTCTGTTCTATAAATATAACCATGTATTAATGATATGCATGTAGACACATAAGATGTGCTAAAGTAATTGTCTTTTCGTGCCTCCTCCAAAAAATAAAACCATAGATGACCAGTAACCTCAGATTCTTCAAAAAGACCTTTCATTAGAGAGGTGCTTGCCACTTTGTGGATCCAGTGGTTTTCATGGAAGGGAAGACATGAGCAGTGACATTTTAAGACAATTCCTCTTGTTATCAAAGAAGCACCATACTGTTAGATATGCCCTTGAAGGTTTGAGTAAAATTTCACCCCAACAAATGCATTTTTCCCCCTAAGGTGTGTTCACTGGGGTTTAAAAGAAACAAAGAGATAATCCCATTGAACTGTTTATTTTTGTTTACTGAAAACATTTTCCAGGAAGTCTGTTGAGGTTTTGGATGTGAAACTGCTATTGAGTTTTTTTCCTGGTGTGCTTTGTTACAGCTGGTGAACAGTGACAGTTTGACAGCACTGCAAAATAAGACCCCATTTTACTCAAGGAAGGAAAAATGGAGTATTGTCATATGTGCAGTAAGCGAGGTTTTGAGGTCCTTACTGCCAACCTGCTACCCTTCCAAGTGCTCCACATGGAGAATAACCTGTGCTGAGCTATACATGTGACTGGGATGTGCGTGTAGCCAGTCTCCTGCCTGCTAGAGCTGTTCCCAGACAGGATAGGAGAAATGAGTGTTGCATGTCAAAGAATAAAGTTGGGCATCCTGCTGATGGCAAATATCTCCATTTATTTGATTGTAGAAGTCTCTAAAAGAAGGAGCCAAGATGGAAAGGGGAAAGTAATAATACCGGAAGGAAGGTTCTGGAGGAAATTCAGCCGTCTCCAGCTATATTGGAACAAAGAACAAGAAAGGTTGAACAAACAGTACAACCCCATTTTGAGCGTGTTGGCCAATAAGGCAGGAGATGCGTATGGTTCTGCAGACACAAACCATCTGAACTCTTGTAAATCTGACCTGAGAGTCATGTTAGCTGTGAAAGATTTTGAAAAGTTTTCCAACAGCTTAAAAGGCTTTCTCATGTATTTGAGATGCTGAAATTACTCCCTACTTACAGATCAACCGAAGAAATGTGTAAAGAAACCCTTTTTACTGCTGATGATTAAGTCCCTCCATATTTTTCCAGAAGGCAAAGAAAGCAATGCGGGAAACCAGGCAGTAGTGAGAGTCTTCTTGCTGGGCTGGATGCCTTCAGAAGGCAACAACACCTCAACTTTTCAGACATGCCGAAGTTTGAGAGTGAGAAGCATCAGGGCATTCGCATGTAGAACTACAGACACGTTCTTCAGCTTGTCTCTGAAGGAAGTGCTGTTTCTCAGGAGGGTGAGCACTTCTTGCCCAGATACCAAGTTTATTTTCAAGGGTGATGATGATGTTTTTGTGAATACTCATAACATGCTAAATTACTTGAATAGCTTACCCAAGTATAAAGCTGAATATTTGTTTATAGGTGATATGATCCACAATGCTGTGCCTTTACGGAAGAACCTGAAGTACTGTATCCCAGAAATCTACTCTGGGGTATACCCATTTTATGCAGCAGGAGGTGGATTCCTGTACTCTGGCCACCTGGCCCTGAGAGTGTACAATATAACTGACCAGGTCCATCTCTACCCCATTGATGTTTATACTGCAGTGTGCCTTTAGAAACACGGCCTCATTCCAAAGAAACACATAGGCTTCAGGACATTTAATATTGAGAAGAGTACAAAGAATAATATTTGTGCCTGTAGACATCTCATGAAGTACATAGCAGAAAACCTTAAGAGATGACTGCTATTTGGGGTGAACTGCAAACTGCTCATCTAAAATGCTTGTCTCTGTGGAGCTGGAAAATTAGCTCAATGCGTCTAGCCCCACATGGCAACTCACAACTATCTGTAAATTCAATCCAGGGAGTCTGACACCTTCTGGTCTCCCAGGCATCAGTCATGCATGTGGTAGACATATATACATATGGGAAAATATATAATTAAAAAAAATCTTTAAAATGCTATTGTACATATAAGCTGAATTTCACACAGAAAGGGCCATCTTGACTAGTTCCCTTGTGTTTTCACATTGGGGTGATTTCTGTGTTACACTGTCAGAGTTGCCTACAAGTGGCATCTGTTTAGAGCTTCCAGACAAGTGGCATTTGTTTAGAGCTTCCAAGCCCTTCAATTCCATACCTTTATGGCCAGGGAAAAACAGAAGATAATTTACTGAGGACATGGCAGGTTGAGTGGATCGGTTCCTTCCTGCTGGATACCCATCATTCTTTTCTAATTTGTTTCCCTTGTTTTCTGAAATCATAAGTTTAGAATTTGCGTATTAAGTTCTTAATGGTTTTGTCCTATATAACAACACTCCTGTTTCCACTATAATGATTGGTATCAAG